TCAGGAGGTGGAGTTTAATTCTTCTTCCTGTTTCTTAAGGGTGAATTTGACCTAATGACTCATGTTAAAGTATGCTATTTGGAAAGCAGAATCCAGTAACTTTCCGGGAGGAAAAACCTAGCTAATACTACCCTAACCAAGTAATCAAGCTTAACATGGCCACTGAGAAGTCATACTGCTGTGATGTAGCACACTTGATATGAGATGATTAGAAAGATTACTTCTATGAGTTTCATCTCTCAGATCCAGAGCCCCAGTCTAATTATAAAACACCCGACAAATCTAAACTGAGAAATACTCTAAAAAATACATGACTAAGTATTTTTTAAAACTGTCATGGTCATAAAAAAAAAGAAATAACTAAGACAGGGAAGATCAAGGAGATATGACACTTGAAAGCAGTGTGATATCCTTGATTAGAACATGGAACTCCAAAAGTGTATCTTTGGAAAGATTGTTGAAATTTGAACACAATGTGGAGTTTAACTGATAATAATATGCCAATTATAATTTCTTAGTTTTCACCAGCATATCATAGTTATCAACAATGTTATCATTAGAACAAACTGGGTAAAGGATATACACAAAAAAATTGTGCTAGCTTTGCAATTTAAATCTAAAATTTAAAAGTATGCCAAAGTAAAATGTTTGCTAAAATAATTCCAGCAAGCCACACCAGCAGGTGAATCAGGCCTGAGGCCTTACGCTGGACCTTCTGGTTTGGAATAAAAATAAATCTTCTTGTGCTATTACTACCCAGAATCATCAAAGATCATGGTAAGCCACGAGCACTTAACTCAAAGATCCACTGTGCCTAGGTTTTTAGTCTGTTCCTTCCTCCTAACAAATGTTCCATTCCTTTGTGGAATGTTAATGCAATAGTCAGAGCTCTAATTGCCAATATGAATCATCAGATGACCTCAGGCCTGGAATCCTGAACAGTAGATCAAAAAAGTAATATATTTTATGAAACCAAACTTGTTGATTTTAAGGCACACAATGATTTTATGTACTACGAAGAAAAAAATGCTACCAATTAAACTAGTAAGCAACATTTTCCTAGCCCTTTGATTTTTCTTACTTTTTCAATATACACTTACTGAAAGACCTTTTACTCTTATTAGGCATAGATTTTCTTATTATATCACTCTCATGCATACACATTTTCTTAGTTACTTTTGTTGTTGAGACAAAATAACTGACACTCAAAATTAGGGAAAGAGAGGTTTATTTAGCTTATAGTTTTTGAAGATTTCAGTCCATACTCATCTGGCTCCAGAGCAGGATGGCATGGCTGAAGGGCAGTCATTCATGGCAGCTTCAAGCAATAAGAACAAAAAGGCAGAAGAGGGAAAACACACCTTTTTTCCTCCCCTGTACTGTATTTCAGCTAGCCACCTCTGGGCAGCTACAACACTCACACTGTCAATTCCAGCACTAGACAATGGACCAATCACAAATGCTAGACTCAGCCTCTTCCATGACTGCATGAGGCTTGGTGGTGGTGGTGGTGGTGGGGCTTCCTGTTATGAGCTCAAAAATCCAAAATGTGCTGTTCATATTACAACTTGCTCTCTTCCTGTAAAACTTGTGTAATTGCCAGTTAAGTTGCAAACTTGTAACATCCCCACCATGTAACGCCCTCGCTGCCTCCTTGGTTCCTGTAACTGCTTGTTCCGCCTCTCTGGCTCCTTTTATGGGGACAAACTGATCCTAGCGTCCTGACGCCTCCCCTTTTGGCTTGCTACTTCATAACTCCCTGCAGCCCCTGGCTCAGGCACATACTTTCCTGACTGCCATCAGGGACAGTGTCACCATTGAGCTCAGCTAATAAAGCACTTTTAAAAAAATTTTTTTGAGTCCGTCATTTTTCTGCCCATATCACTTCTGAACACAATCCATAAGACACACAAAAGGAAAACTGCACAATAGAACTTACAGTACTACTAGAACTTCTTCAGATTCAAAATCCAACTCTTGTAAATCACTTTTGTACTCAGAATCATTTGTATCTCATAATGTTATCCTCTGTGGCAATGTTGTATTTCTTGAGAGTACAACAGCCATTCTCTAATATCTCCAGGGTTTTCTTCCTAATCAGTGATAGCACTTTGTTGAGTTTTGAAATGCATCCCAAAGATATGAAAAAAATGGACCTCTTGGAATCAGTGTTTTCTTTTCCATGTGGCAAGCAAAACCTATCTTCTTCAAATCCTTACTTTTCTAGTCTTTGTTACTACTCAGATTCTGCCCCAATCCAAACTGAAACACAATTCTTTTTTTTAAAATGTTGCTGTTATTTCTTGCCATTTTCACTGTCCCTGATACTTCTCCAGTGATCCCCTCGGCTAGTGAGGTAGGTATACATTTGTTTTCTTTACCTTTCGGGTGTTCTAACATTGGCTATATCATTACCCTTATTCACCTTTCACTTAAGGTTTCCTGAAGTAAATTCTTCATCAATATCCTCTGAAAACTAACTCAGGACACAACTACTCCTCCTCTTACTTCACACACACATGCACACACACACACACACACACGCAGATACCCCATTTGTAGAAGAATTTGTTATTTTAAAATATGAATCATTGTATCACTTCTAAGATTACTGATAATACCTTCCTCTACTGCGTACCTGATTAGATGTGTTTCTTTGGTTTGTGAAAAGAAACTGGAGTTATTCATAAATGGAAAAAAGTTAAAGGAAAATTTAAAAATGAGAAATGTAGAACAAATTTCCAGAGTAGAAAAAATTCAGGAGAAATTAATAGATGTTTTGTACCGCTCGTCATACATTTCTGAGGAGAAAAATACTTCTCCTTTTTTCTGGAAATTGAAGTACAAGTTGTAAGTGACAACCATCTATTAAGAAACTTCCTTTTGTGATGCGTGAGGATTTTTCCCCCAGAGGTAAATTATTCAACACAGTTCATTTGAATCTGTGTTTGAGCCTGAGATGAAGTTATCAATTTTACCATTTTCCCTTAGTCTGTCCTGATATTATCATTGCCTGAGACTCTGGTACCCATAGCAACAGCCACTGTTTCAGACATCATTACCCCAAGCTGCAGAGCAAAGCAAATGACTGACAGTCATCCAGCTGTGTGTCTCATGGCGGTACTTTCCAGGGCTGGAAGGCCAAGTCACAGCTGACTCCCAGTGATTCCAAGTCTAGTTATCAGGAATTGAGAATGTGGCATATCCACAAAAAATTTGCTTACTCCTTTTGTAGGTATGTGGTCAGGGAAGGTGGGAAAACTAGGAGTCCTGCATCCAGGAACAAAGTCCAGACATTGGACAGTATAACGGGGCAAACTTAATCTAAAAGTTTCTTACTTCTCTCCCACATATTTGAAAGGCTGTTTGGTGACAAAAGGAGAGGACTTAGGACATTTAGAGTTTTTCTTGCAGAAGAACCACTATACAACAATTTTAACTCCCACTGTACCAAGATTTCCCCGCCAGGGATTCTTTAAGAAAAGCGGTGAAATGTGACAATGCAAGTAGTGGATTGTAATAGACACTGGAATGTAATCACCATTGCTTTGACTCTTGCAAGTGAGGAAGTCCTGCTTTTCCAGGCAAAACAAAGAGATGTAGCTATAAATAAACTTCTCTGCATTGTTCTGGAGAGTCCTTCTGAATCACACCAAAGAGGATGATACGGTAAATCAAAGAGGAGGCTCAGCAGCTATGACAGTCTGGGGTCAGCTATAGATCCTAGTGAAAAGACTACAATAAGCAGTGGTTAATTACAGTCCGTTACACACATACAGTACACTGCACATGTTGACATACAGGCTTCTCTGTCTATGCTTTCAGATGAGCTGGATTAGCAGGTAGAGGATATATTTTGCAGTCGCCTCCTTTCCTATCATTCCTGAAGAGAAGCTTCTCCAAAGTAAGACATCTATGTGACTGAGATCTCCCTGGGGATTTGCAGGCTTAAGGTCTTCCCAGGTGTCTGGTGCCATCTGAGGTAATAGTGTTGCTTCGTGTGTGGGGAAGAGAGCTTCAACAGAGGGTGCTGACTGCCTTCCTGGGAGGTGCCCTGCTACCTTTTATAGGGTCTGTTGCCACTTCTAAAGGCTTCCTTTCATATGAGGATGATTTTGGCTGAGGGTTTTGAAGCTATCCCCACCTGAGGCTGGAAGGCACACCTGTAATTAGTGTGTGTGTGTAAAGGACTATAGTGTTGAGAGCTATCTTTGAGAGTGTTGGGGATTTCCCTCCAATCCAGGGCTGGTTATCTGGCTGGATTCCCAGTCTATCTGCACAATCTTCCTTAACCCATTGGTATACCTTTCGGGTAAGGAAAGAAAATGGAATATGCCATCAGAAAATCTATGTTATTGTCCTAATTCCATAACTCCTTGCCTGTGAAGGCTCCCTTGGTCTTGCTTATAAAGACACAGCCATAATACTGCCTCTTCTTATTCCTTGGAGTTTTATAAAAATACAAAGTGATGTAAATAAAAGGATTTGGTGTTGCAAAATTCCAGTTGCTTGTTGGCCAGCTTAAGCCTCATTTCCTGAGAGCCCAGAATGCCCTTGGTGAAAACATCTTCTAAGGCCCTTGTGCTACCAAATCAACAGACATTATTAACATTAGCATTTTTAAAGTAAACTACAAGTCTTCAGGTACAGTTGAGTATACCCATATGTCTTATTTTTTACTGTTCCGAGATAGAACTCATGGTCCTTTGTAGATGAGGTAGTCAAGCTACCACTAAATTACACAGCAAACTAGAATCCCTTTATCCCCTGTTCATTCCCAGTTCCCTTAACTTCTGTCCCACAGGCACGTACAGATCCCAGAGCCCTAGACCATCTACACCATCCCATCCCATCTTTCTCCCCCATCATGGTGACCCTGAACCACATGGTGGGTGCAGAGACTCTCAGATACCCGTTATACAGCCACAGTAATGATCTACCTTCATTTTTAAAGAGGGGGGGTTCTATACACATAAATTAACTGGACACCTTCATTGCATTAAGAACCAAGTAACAACTTTATTGGAAACAACAGTTTGACGAAAAGAGCTGAAGTTAATGTGGTGAGTGGAGAGTGCACCCCCCTGCCTGGTGACCAAGGGAGGATCCCAAAGACCTGGGGACAGTCTGTGCTCAGTTCTCTTTGTTGGTGTCCTCCAGGCTAAGCTTGCTAAAGAGGTAGCTCACTGAGCTGTCCCCCGCGGTCTCCGTCTCACGAAGGCTGGTCAAGCAGTTTTCCAACTGGTTGAGAACCGGAACCTGGGGCTTTATGTAGTGGTACAGCAGGAAAGTGCTCAGGTCGGAGTCATTCTTGTCAGTTGCAAGGCTATGCAGCAACACGAGGCTCTGCTTGAGAGTGTTCTCCACACGGAAGGCGTACTCCACAGCCTGGATACAGGCATGCCAGTTACTGATATTAGGCTTTACGATGTTGCAAAGGACGACACTACCACCTCGGTCCTGTTGCATCCGCATGAGCTTCTCAGCACCTTCCTGCCACTGATGACACCGGCGAAGGAAAAAGTGCGAGTAGTTTTTCAAAGCCCCGCTGACGCTGTTGCAGTAGAGGGCCATGGAGAGGTAGATGTAAGAGCAGTGGAGCTGCAGGTGGATCTGGTTGATGACTGCGGCCTCGCATTCAGGGTGGTAGCTTGGTTGGCCCTGTGGTAACATGGTGGGCAAGTTGAGCACAAAGGCTGCAAAAGCCATGAAGTTAGCCCGAGCACGTTGGGAGCGGACTGAGCAGCGGTGGCGACGGCTGCGAAGACGGCGAGGTCCTCTTGGTGCTCCCATGGTACCAAAATAAGCAGATATCCAGCGGCTGACTCTGGACAGGGGTGGAGGTGGATCTGAGGAGAAAGCGGAAAGGCACCGGAAGTGGGCGTGGCCAGAAGTGAGAGGGCCAATAACCAAGGCGGGAGGGAAAGTACCTACTGTGCGGTGGTTAGGACAAAATGATGGCAGCAAAAGTGGGTTAGATGTCTCTGAATATAATTCTCTGAGGCAGAGCTCTGGAATCAGTAGTTGGGTCATGAGTGTAGAGTTCATTGAGTAATTTGGGCAACTCTATTCTATCTAATCTCTACCTTATTTTGAAAAGTTATTTATGAACTTAAGTTTATATTTTTCCATAATAAATTGGATGGTTTCTTTAACTAATTTGTCTGAATATTACCCAAATGCGACCATGTAATTTAGTATAGTGATTTTATGATATATTTAATATCATAAAGCCTTATTTGAATAGCTGTTGTCCTCACTGACTTGAATACTTACATGACCCATCTAAGGAAGAGGTTGGGGATTAGGGCATTCATTCCAATGCTGAATTTCATCAGTAACTCTGGAAAAATTTGCACTGTCTTAATTATATTGAATCTTTGATTTTGCAACATTTCTAGTATTCAAAGGCTTACTCTTTTCCTATGTAATACCTTTCTAACACAGCCTGTTTTGGTATCATTCTCTTTTGTTTTCTGTATTAAATCTCCTCAGAATTAGTTTAATGTGCTCATCATGGTCTCCTCTTCATTTTGCTAAAGTATCTGACCAACCACTGTAAATTCCTAATCCGAAAAAAAAGGGCTCTTCATAAAAAGGGTGAGGGGAAAGGGGCAGGAGTACTGAGTTTTATCAGCAACCTACATGATACTTCTCTGAGTACCTCTATAATAATAAGAAAATAATTGCTCTATTGAGATATACTTTACATGCCATAAAACTAATCCTTTAGAAGTAAAAATTTCTGTGACTTTTAGTATATATGTAGCATTCTGCAGCCATCACCAAAATTCTAATTTCAAAAGATTTTTCTCCATCCAAAATGAAATCTCTGATCCATTAGTAGTCAGCCATCTTGTCTCCTCTGCAAAAGTGACAAGTGCTGATCTACTCTTTTATTTTTATAGATATGCTTATTATGAACATTTCATATATCATGGAATTATATGGACTTTTGTGTATGACTTCTTGCACCTAGCAGAATATTCTTAATCTTCATTCTTTTATTCCTGAATAATATTCCATTGTATGGATATACCACATTTTATTTATCCTTTGATCAGTTGATGAACATCTGCATTATTTTCATTTTCTGGCTGTCATCTGTTTATGCCCTTACCTTTTATATATCTCCTTTGGAAAAAAGTCAATTCAACTGTTTTGCCCATTTTTAAAATTGGATTGTGTTTTTGAGTTTTAAGATTTATGTATATTTTATGAATACAAATCTCTTCACAAATGTATGATTTGCATATATTTTCTACCATTCTGTGGGTTGTCTTTTTACTTTCTTTAATCCCCAATGTTCACAATTATGATGTTTATCTTTTTTTTTCCTTTTGCCATTTGTGCTGTCAGACCTAGGAAACCATTGCCTAATTCAAGGTCACAAAGATTGCACCTAGATTTCCTTCTAAGAATAGTAGATATTCAAATATCAGATTCATTATGATTTGAGTTATATGATCACTTTTATTCTTTTATGTATAAATATCCAGTTATGTGCAATATCATTTATTAAGACTACCCTTTCTCTTCTGGATGGTCTTGGCACATTTGTCAAAAATTAATTGACCATAGATGCAGGGGTGTATTTCTGGAATCTCAATGCTGTTCTGTAATCTTTAAACTTATGCCATGACAGCACTGTCTTGATTAGTGTTGCTTTGTAGCAAGATTTGTAATAGAGAAGTGGAAGTTGTCCAAATTTTTTAAGATTGCTTTAGCTGTACTATGTCCCCTGAATTTCCTTATAAATTTTAGGATAATCCTGTCAATTTCTTCAAAAAATCCAGCTGAGATTTTGATAGGGATTGTGTTGAATTTATTTGTAGATAATTTGGGAAAATATTAATATTTTAATAATATTAACTTTTGATTCATAACCATGAGATGTCTTTCAACTTATTTAGATCCTAAGCCTTTTAAAATACAGATTTTGTTTCAACTGGAGCCAAAATTCTGAATTTCTGGGCAGCATCTCAGGTGATGCCCGACCACACTATGAATCACAACATTCTGAAAAGAAAGAGGCCAACATCCCTCATCAAGATTTGGAAATGAGGACATGTACATTGCTCTCTTCAAAGACAAATGCTTGTCCAGAAGTCACAGAGAGTCCCTGTGCTACCTATGCTAGAATGTAGTGTGAGAAGCCCCAGCCCTGTCTTTTCTCCCAAAAATATAAATAAGAAAGTGACTCCATCTTGGACTCTAGCTCACTGTAGGCTGTCCTCACCTTTTTCTTTGAGTACACTAGGTTAGAAAAAAATGTTTGTTCAGTTTACATTCCCAGAACACAGCTGACATCCAAAGATAGCTTATCAACAGCCAGAGTCTTTCCATCCCTTGTCCTCCCACTCTTCCTTCCTCTTAAGAATTCTGCTCAGCAACCTTTTAGGTCTTCTCTTCAAGCCACTTGAACTTGATAATTGAGACAGATTTTAAACCTTCAACCCAGCCAATGGAAAAGAAATGTCAGCGGCTTCTTAGGCATTAGGGATAAAAAGAACCTGCCTCAGCCTCCTGCATGCTTGCTACCTCATACTAGAGTGTCCTTGTACCCTTCTGCAAAATCAAAACTTGCTTTGTTGAGATTTCTTGGTGTCTGAATGCTTTATTACCTGCACTAACAAACTGAGTCTGGGAGCGTATTCCCTATGTGTGGGTTTCCATAGGATGAAAGTCTTCTTTGTATCATGAAAAAGTGTGAACGACTTTAAAATCAGCAAAAAAAAATTGAGTGGATAAAAAAAGTTTTTACGATGTTCTTCCAGATTATTTCTATCTCCCACTGACTTTGAGCTATAACTGTTAATTGTAGAAAGTTAATAAGTCAAATGAATATTGTCCCTAGAAATGTAAATTAAGTATCTGGTGGAATGTAATTAATTCTTGACTCATTTTCCATCTATTTATAGATTCATTCTTATATTCCAATAGTTAACTCACTTTCAGTCTATACATTTATTTCTACATTTCTTATTGCCTGTATATGTAATGACTTTTTGAATTCTTCTGTGAACCATTTGTAACATATTACTGACTTTCATATTAATCAGCCTTTCACGTGCATAGAGTCATGATTTTCTCCCCTCCTCCCTTTAATTAATTTTTAATACTTATTCCCACCACCTCATCAGAAACACAGCTGTTAGATCAATTAAATACTTTCATGGGTTGTTGATGATAGATATGATTCCAGAAAACTATTTGGAACCTATAGAGATAAAATTCCTGACTGAAACATAGACTATGGAAGTACAGCATCGTAGAGGAGGAGGTAGGGTTACTCTGGGAATGCAGACAACTGGTGAAAAACTGCAGAGGAAGGGGCTAGAGAGCAGGGCACAGGAAGTAACTCATAAGCAAAACTTTACAGTCACTGTGAGGGAGAGGCTAGCCTGGTGCACATGGGGAGGGTAGAGAAGCAGGAGTGATCAGTAAAATCCTATAGATAACCAGATCATGTAACCTATAGATAACGTATATTACCTAATGATAACCAAAACAGCTGAGAACTAGGGGAGAGGTGAGTGCTTCTGAACAGAAAGTAGTCAGCACAGGGGCTGGGGATTTAGCTCAGCAGGCATAAGCACCTGCCTGGCAAGCATGAAGTTTTGAGTTTGATCCCTGGTACAGAAAAAAAAAGAGGGAAAGAAAGAAACAAAGTGGTGAACACAGATTTGAGGAGTACAAGGCTGACAGACAAACAGTAAGTTGACAGGCTATGATTCATGATCAAGGTAAAATTAAACCTGGGTAGGAGGCAGGAACCTGAGTTTTTGGAGCCAGGATTAAGGATTCCCTCATCAAGTATTTTTGTTAGTTTTGTTTGCTTTTCTTCTGTGGTACTGGGGATTAAACCAAAGACCTTCTCACCGAGCTACATCTCCAGCACTCTCCCAATTCCTGACTATATTTTGAGATAGTAGCTCACGAAGTTGCTAAGTTGCCCAGGCTGGGTTTGAACTAGTAGTCCTCCTGCCTCAGCTTCCCTGAGTTCTGGGGTTACAGGCATGGGCTATCACATCCAGATTCCTCATCAGCTCTTTTAAGTTCCCTGAATCATATACCTGGAAGGGCTGTTGAGATTCACAGATATTAAGTGTATAGAGTATCTACAACTGGCGCATGGGCTGTCTTCCAGAAAAGGTTACTTCTGTCTGGTAATCAGACACAGGGAAGCTCTACTGCATGTTGGTTGGCTCCACTATAGAGCAACTTTTTAGTACAAAGACCACAGGAAAGTTTTGTGACAGCTCATATTTGGTTGGATATTAATAAGATGTTCAATATCCATACCCATTACATTCTGAAGAAGAAAAAATCTTTCTGTTTCCAATTTTTCACTGTTCTGATTGGGGTGGGGTGTCATCATTTTAAGAACCTAAATATGCTCATAGTCTGTATGGAATACAGATAAATTGATAGCTAACATTAGTTCAGTTAAATATAAACTGTCTCTGAGTTCAAAACCTCCTAGTTTTATTCAATGTGCTGGATATTCTCCATTTACCCTTATAGGACTACTTCTCCATCTTACTCAGAGCCCTGGGAGGAGGAGGCTGACCCATATGGATTTTATCCTTGAACCCTGTGTGCTCTAGCTTCTGACTGGGGTTGGTCAATGCAAGACACTGGCAGTAAATGGAAGGGCTGAAGGAGAATGAAACTGAGTTCCTTATTCTCTTGCTCCCTCTCTACAGTATGGCAAGGAAAGTCCTTTATTTTCCTTTTATAGACTTTGCTTATTTGATGAAGACAATTATCAGGATAGGCCTTTTAGAAACAGTTCATTCAGGGAAATCTACCACAAAGACTCATTCTTTGGCTTAGGATTAATGCA